ATACATATTCGATTTGATTAATATCGTCGAACAGATAATACATATAGATTCCCTGTTTCGGGCAAAGTTGTTGAAGGCAGTTGATGCCATGTTCGTGTTGTTTGTTTGATCGACTGATTGTTCTATGTTATAATTAGTATAGTCGATTAGATAAACGTCGTCGATTAGTTTTAAAGGACTGAATGTTCAAATATCCTGATTCTGATAAGCTTCATATGATTGATCGAACCATTATCGTTTAGCTGTTTGTTTGAAACTATTTGTGAATAGTTTGTAGCTGCAGTACAATAGCTGGAACTCAGTTTAGGATAGTTTGAGTTTGAACTTCCAGAAGTTCAAATTTCAGGATGTTAAAGCAGGGTAAAGCAGTAATAACCAGGGGCTAACAGGGGTAGTTTAGGGGTGTGAAAAGAGCAGAAATAGTTAGTTTAAGTGGGCTGACATAAGGTACTGAAATAGGATTAAACTAATACAATAGTAGGGAACAAAACTTGATAGCATGGGTAGTTAATTGAGTATTATAATAGGCCCATAACATTTGGTAATAATAAAATGAATTGATGGGGGATTAGTTGGGGATTGTCAGCTGCCCATACCATTTGAGGCACAAACACATGTTAATGGGAAATAAAGGGGTATGGGCAGAGTTGAGGGCTGGGGGAGACGAGGCAGCCTGGGGCTTGCCTGTATTTTGCCTATAAATAGGCTCATTTAGGGTAGAATAAAGGGTTGGAGATTAGAAATCAAGTTTGGACAGTTGAGTTTGAGGGCTAGAGAGTTAAGTTTAGGGGTTGGACGTCAGAAATTGAGAGAAAAATAGAGTGTTAAAGCTGAAACTCCACATTAAGGAGTTTGAGGCTGTTTTTCCTGGGGTGTTTGACAAAATAAAAAATTACTGCTTTTAGTGCACCAGTCTGTTGTGTTGGGACACTGTTGGATTTCAGTTTAGTTCCCCTGGTTTCTTTACTCGTTGAACACTGCTTTAGCTGAGTGTCTTGGTTTTCTGTGTGGTCTGAAAGTTCACTGGTCTTCTGCTTGGTTTAAATCTGTCGCTGGTTTCCCATTGGTTATTATTGGATTTTCTTGCTGAGTTTGTTTTGGCTTCAAAAAATCTGACCGCTGGGTTGTTTGCTGCTGAGTGCTGCCTTTCTGTTGTTGCTGTTGTTGTGTGTGTGTGTGTGCTACTGCTGCACTGATCATTCCTCTTCTTCTTTTACTTTCCCAAATACCAGGTACACCACTGATACACGTATCAATGTAGGCTAAATTCGAATCATGAATACAAAGAAATGAAGAGTTGAAGTTATTTTGGATTCACTTTAGAAATATACTGAACATTAGTTGAATGTATGATAGTTCGTTTTCTCTAATAGAACTATGTAGTCAGCTGTGATGTAACTGAACCTTTACACATATCATTTAGTTGAAAAACTCTACGAGTTGCTTATAATTAAAAGGGACTAATGTTGTAGTAGCTATGTTCTATTAGTGCATTATTATTTGTCAAGAAGCATGTTAGGTACTCAATAGTTACTTCCTTAAACAAATAGCCTGTTTTTTTTAGTTGGTAGGAATATGGCTTGATTAAGACAAGCAGCACATTATATTTCAGCCCCCCCCTTTAAATGTCAAACATATACCGAATAAGTTAAACAAGCCCAATTGGAATAAGGAAGGCCCAGGCCGAATTTCACGTTATGCACATTGGGCCTGGGCCCGTAATATCTAAGCAACGGCCTATATACGCGTTCATGTTTCGGATTTTGCAAATCATATTCGGAACCCGACTATAATAAATTCGAAAGTATGTAAATCAAGTAGGACTTTTTCTTCATTTATTTTAGAAAACGAAAAATAGAAAAATGTAGTCATGCTAAGATTATCCTTTTAAAAATAATGAGACGAGCCTCGCCAAAGAAAAAATGTAAATTGCGGGGCCCTCAATAATTGGTCATAATAAATACTTAGAATTTGGGATGGACTATTTAGTGAATTTCACTACCCTCCCCAAAGATAATAACGTGTTAGCCTCTTTAGACGCGATTTAATTAAATTACTTTCTTAAACACGGGTGCACATTTATGTGACCCAAATCCAAATTTTAGCGGAGTCGAAAGGTGTCTCTAATCACCGGTACATTGATTGTGACGTGGTTCGAGATGCGTGTCCATGACGTTGCAAATTCCTTTTAAAAAATAAGAATGAGATGAGCCCCGCCGAATAAAAATACAAAATTGCGGGGCCCTCAGTAAATATTTGCTTTAAAATTGCTTAGACTTCGGGATAGATCGTTTAGCAAAATTTCACGGCCCTACCCAAAGTAAATGATACGCTAGTCGCTTTAGGCGCGCCTTTAATAATTTAATTTTCTTAAACTCGGGTGCGCATTTATGTGACCTAAATCCAAATCTCAACGGAGTCAAAGTGTGTCGACGACCACGTGTACATTGATTGTGACGCGGTTCAAGATACATTTTCACAACGTTGCAATTCCCTGTAAAATAATAATAATAATAATGAAAGCGGTAAAGAGTTAAAATCTGCACATAAGTTCATATTTGTATAAAATCAGATAAACAAGCCGAATATGACAGTTGAGCGACCCTGCTAGAACCAAGGAACTCGGGAATGCCTAACACCTTCTCCCGGGTTAACAGAATTCCTTATCCGGATTTCTGGTGCGCAGACTGTTAAACAGAGTCATTCTTTTCCTCGATTCGGGATTCAACCGATGACTTAGGACACCATAAATCTCCCAAGTGGCGACTCTGAAATAAATAAATAAATTCTGTTTCGGTTGTCCTTTAATTGGAAAAACTCTTTCACCCCTTGCGGGGACGGAAAAAGGAGGTGTGACAAGAATAAATAAGAAACTAGGGTTATTTAGGATTTCGCTATATAATGCCAATTTTTTTGGGTTACCTTTGCCAAACCTAATATAAGGCTAAAATTACCAATTCTCTTTATCTATTGTCATACCATGCCATTTTTTCTAGGAATTTTTACATTCCTATGCCACATAAGAAACCTTATTACCCTTAATATTTAAGGTTTGATTTAATTACACTTAGTATACCAAAATTACCAATTCTATACCATAATTAATTAAAGGTATAATTAATTGTACGTTTTTACTCCTTAATTAAAGGAATCTGAAAATTCTTCTTTGTTTATATGAGAACAGAATTTGAAGTGCTTAATCCAGGCATTCTTGGATGCAGATTCCTCAAATATTCATTCTTCGATGCAATAAGTTTCTAGTTGAAGCCTAATTCAAAATATTGTTTTTAGTTCTTCCATATATTCCAGATGATGTTATTAGTTGTGATGGAAAATCAGTAGCAACTTTTGGTGAATAAATACTGCATTTCTTGGGAATGTTCAGTAATATTAACCGGAAATCTTACCTTAACATTTCCCAATTCAAACACCCATCAGAACCATTCCAGTTAGAGATAAGATGAAAACAGAATCAACTAGCAACAGAGAATATGCTAGATATATACTGAAAGAACATATCTTTCAGTATATTTTCTAAAAAAAAAATTTACAAATATACAACAAATCAGTTTAAGTATGTATAAAGCAGTATTATTTATAAGGGTATCTACATAATTACTATATTTATACTAAATTGTAGACTATTTTTTGCAGAAGATTTGTAGAAGTTTTAGTCGTTTTTGATTTGTGAAAACAGAAAACAAAGCATCTACAATCAGAATACAAATAATCTATAATTTATCTACAAAATATCTACAAACTGGGTACATTAAATTTTAATATCCCAATTACCATTCAATTGTAGCTTAATTGGTATTTTCGACATAACTGCATTTTTTGCAGAAGATTTTGTAGAAGTTTTAGTCATTTTGGATTTGTGAAAACAGAAAATAAAATATCTACAATTAGAATACAAATAATCTACAATTTATCTACAAAATATCTACAAACTGGGTACATTAATTTTTTATATCCCAATTCCCATTCAATTGTAGCATAATTGGGATTTTTGACATAATTTCATTTTTTTCAGAAGATTTGTAGAAGTTTTTATTTGTGAAAACAGAAAATAAAGCATATACAATCAGAATACAAATAATCTACAATTTATCTACAAAATATCTACAAACTGGGTACATTGAATTTTTATATCCCAATTCCCATTCAATTGTAGCATAATTGTGATTTTTGACATAATTGCGTTTTTTCAGAAGATTTGTAGAAGTTTTAGCCGTTTTTTATTTGTGAAAACAGAAAATAAAGCATCTACAATCAGAATACAAATAATCTACAATTTATCTACAATTTCTGCAATATGTCTTCTTCTTCTTCTTCTTCTTCTTCTTCTTCTTCTTCTTCTTCTTCTTCTTCTTCTTCTTCTTCGTCGTTGTCGTCGTCGAGTTTCAATCCGAAATTCAGTCAAAACCAAGTCTAATCTTCACCAAAATCCCTCAAAATTGAGATATAAACTCCAAACCATATTCCTGATTATTTTCAACAACACCCAATCCAAACAAATAATGACTTTTGAAAACCCAAATTTGAATTCAAAGCTTTCAAGCTTTTTAATGGATGTCAATGGTGGAATTACTGCTCTCTTTTCATTTGCTTTGTATTACTGAAATTTGCGATTGAGAAATAGAGAGATGTAGAGATAATTTCTGGAAACAGAGTGTATCGCAAAAACAGAGTATGGAAAATCTTGTTCTGCGTTGTGGAAGGTCAAAGTGAAGCCGACGATAATTATGGAATGTGCGTGATTTGCATTGGGGGAGATCTGGAAAATATTTAATTCCCCTTTTTTAGCGCGCAAAATAAGGAATCATAAAGCTATAGTGATTCCTTATTTAATGCATTGTATATATTAGGTAGAAATACTATTAACATGAAGGGTAATAAGCAAACTATGAATATATTTGGTAATATAATTTCATATATGGTATATATAGGAAAACGCCTCTTTTTTCTATCTATATTGTACGTACCATTTTAAGGCCCATTAGAAATTATGAAAATCCAAATTCCTTCAAACGGGCCGGATCCAACCCAAACCGTAAAACAGTTGACCCAAATTGAACTATCAGCCCTCAACTTCCCGCCGTTAACTTTGCTCAGTTTCCATCTCTTTCTGCAGCAAGCTCCTCACTTCCTCTCTTTCTCTGTATTCACTATCTCGCGTTCAAAACCCTTTAAAGGTATAGATTTTTATGTATGTTTACTGTCCATAAGATATTTTCTGCAACAAAAAGTGACCTCAACTGTACTAATTGAGTAATTGTATCTGTTTCTGGTTGGTCGTTATGTTTATAATTGGATTTTTATTGAATAAATTTTAAAAAAAAGAGCTTAATTTTGGTGTTCTCCTTTTGTTTTTTCAGGATTTCAGCTGAAAAGGGGGAGCTTGATAATGGAGGAAGAAAAGGAGATGAAAAAAGAGAAGAAAAACATCCCTGTAGTGCCATGGATGAGAAATCCAATTGATATTACTACCTTTGATCAATGCTCTCTCGATTTTGTGCCTTTTCTTGATCCAGGGTACACTTTAATCTTGAGAAACTGCATATAGGTGCTGTCTTTTAAAATTATTGAATTTGATTTTTTTTTAACTAATCATGTCTCACAATCTATATGACATTCTATTTATTTTGGGATGTATAAAAATGTTTTGGTTCTATTTTATTATTTGAAAAAAGGTAAGTATTACTGATGCCAAAAGCTAGCACTAAGAAAGTGCTGAAGTTACCTCCAAAAGAAGCAAAAATAAAAGTAAACAGGTGTCAATTTATACCCCTTCGCCTGCATAGCTAGGTCAATTTTTTAATTGTATAGTATATACTATATGTTGGAATCCCCTTAGCGTCTTTGTGTGTATATAGTTCATTATATTGATACCCTAGTGAAATTTCTGGCTCTGCAACCAGGGACAGATCTACGTGTAAGGGACGGGGTGGTACGCCACCCGCAAGCTTTGACCGAGATTATGCAATAGTATGTATACATACATGTATATATAGAAGGAATGTATACAAATATTTTAAGTGGCACCCTCAGTAACAAAATGGCTCAAGGTGCCACTGGTAAGGCACCACCATTTTCACCCGAATGGTGGGGGTTCGAATCCTGCCCAGCTCATTGTTTTAAAAACTTTTGTTTGGTGCATTTAAGACCATTACATGAGGATCCTTTTGTCTCTTCTTTCTCTTTACTTAATTGCTCTTTTTTGTTTATTAGTAGGTCCTATTGATTTTTCTTTGAACTTATTAATTTATTTTGATTTTTTTTCTCCTTTTTTTTTCCTTAAACATTTAACAGAAAATATAAGAAAAAAAATTCTTTCACAAATCTATTCAAAGAAATCCCCCTTGTTGCACTTTCCTAACTCCTCCGTGATTTATCAATAGATAATAAAAAATTAATTGTTTTCTCCAGGATTTATTTTGTCGTCAGATTGCTCTAAAGTAGGACAATTGTATATAATATCTAGTGAATTAATTTTCATAAAAAATATAAATTGAAATATATCTGTAGACTTCCTTAATCTTTAGAGTGCGTATTAGTATTAGTTTTTGCCTTAAGTAGCTAAAATGATAACGAGCCTTTTTTCTTGTACAAAATTCATAATGCAGTTGAATTTTTTTACTTGTTTTCCATGTTATCATAATTATTACGTAATCTTTTTGCTCGATCGATTTGTTTATATTAACTCCAAAGACGAATAATCCCAACCGAAATCCAAATAGACCGAACCGATTAAATTTATACCCTATTTAGTAAATTGTAATATGACTACGTTCAAAAATTTTGGCACCCAGAGCCTCTAAATCCTAGATCCGCCTCTGTCTGCAACCGACAGCGAGACAGCTGTGAGGGTTTTTTTTCAGCATTTTTTTTATAGAGGAAAGCAAAGTGTTTTGATAGAAATAATAGCTCAATTCAGACCCAGAAATTATGGTGTTTAGGCGCACTGACAGCTTCATGTAATTTACAGGATATATATATATATATATATAATGAAATAGGGAATAGGCATGACTGACTTTATTAGCTCACTACAGAAATGACTTAGTATAGAGGAGCCTATCCTTTTTGTTTTTTGCAGGAGGCCTTTCACCTTGTGAAGTTCAGTACTAGCGTAGTACTTGACTATTTTTTGCTACCAATAAAATTTAAAAAAAGGGCAGCCCGGTGCAAATTAGAGGTTAATATTAGAAATGCATCCAGTAGATGCCAAAATTAGAACAGTGGGCAAAAGATTGGTTAGCTCCTTTTCAGTGGATCTCCTATATGCATTCAAAGGAATTAACAGAGTAAAAAAAAAAAAAACTCATTAAAACTATTTACAGAGTGAAGATTACTCCAAGAAAAAAGGTTCAAGACACATCTTGTTTTAAGCAGATGAGAAGGATTGAGACTCCTTCAAAACATCTATGGTTCATCTCATTCCATATGGACCAAAAAAAGCATGCTGGTATCATCTGCCAAAGTTTCCGAATTGATTTATTTACTTTCCACTGTCCCAGGCACCTATATACATCTCTAACACTGTAAACTAGACACCGGGAATGCACGATCAAAACGAAGTGCTTAGTTTCCGGTGGATGAAGCTGTTTGGTCGCGTACCTAATGTACATCCTATTCAAGCTATAGGACCGGTGTAGATCATAACAAGTTTCAATCTACTGGCGCGAATTACTTATTTCTTACAAAGTCGCGGAAAGAAATATTAGGGAATGCTACACAAGCATACAGGCAAAGTATTCGTAAAATTTGATTTGACTGACCTGATCAAATTAGGTTACAAAATAGGAGTATACTTCCTCGCCGTCAATTTGATCATCCTTTTGAATTTCATGCTTTCCTTGTTGGTGAAAATTGCTAGCTGACCTAAATAATGCTCCCTAATCCCTTCGCGAAAGAAAAAGGTGTTTCATTCCTTCGTGAAAAGGAAATGAGCAGAATGAAATTATAGTTAACCTTTCATCTCACTTTTGAAGTTAAAATTTCATTTTTTATCCCAGATATCATCAGTTTAGTACTTTCGAAGCTTTATTGTTTATAAATTCTGCAGTTGAAACATAGTTGCACTTATACCTTTTGCTTCCGTGACACTTCATACTGGATTTCTTACACTTCCACTTCAACTTGTTCTTACCCTGCATGTTTCTTCACTAGGTTAGTGGTGGCTTTGAAGAATATGGGCATCACTTCACTCTTTCCCGTGCAACTTGCTGTCTGGCAAGAGACAATTGGACCTGGCTCATTTGAACGAGACCTTTGTATAAATTCACCTACTGGGAGCGGAAAAACTCTTGCTTACGCGTTACCAATTGTTCAGATGCTGTCTACACGTGCTGTAAAATGTCTTCGTGCACTAGTGGTCTTGCCTACTAGAGACCTCGCTTTGCAGGTTATTCACATTGATTTTTTAGTTTTAGTTTTGGAAAATGTGCAGTGCATAATTACTCAAATTCTCAATTACCTGTAAATCTTTGCCCCATTTCTAACTTTGGCTCTCTTTTTTGATAGGTATGTCGATGATCCTAGGTTTTTTCCGCCTTAGAACTATGACTTTATGCTACCGATCACCCAAAACCGAAAAACTAAAAGTTTATGCTTTTCCTGAAAGTCCTTTTACTAGCAATCTAATAATTTGTTGGAATTTTTTCTTTGTACCTCAAAGGCTTTAAAAATAGACGTATCTACATTTCCACTTGCACATTATATATATATATATAGACTCTATATTTGCACTTTAACATGCAAATACAGATAACTAACTTCTCGGAAGAAGGTTATGTTGTTATCATTTGTTTCTGTTTTCAGGTCAAAGAGGTCTTCTCTGCTCTTGCACCTGCAGTAGGTTTGTCTGTCGGCTTGGCAGTTGGTCAGTCATCAATTTCGGATGAAATTTCTGAGCTCATCAAGAAACCCAGTGTTGAGTATGGCAGATGTTATGATCCTGAAGAATTCTCATACGAGTTACAAAGTGCAGTAGACATATTAGTGGCAACACCTGGAAGACTGATGGACCACATCAATAACACTGATGGTTTTACCCTTGAGCATCTATGTTATCTTGTAAGCTGCATATTTAGTTGCTTAGAATTTCTTAGGATGTATATTTACACGAGACCCCAAGTCTTATCTTTTTGTTGCCATTTATTGAGTCCTACCATATTGATATAAGTATGTCCGTATTAAACTATCGTGGCATAACGCATTTCTGTCTGGGAGTATCTTGCTCATCTTAAGAAGCTAGGTGTCCCAGCTAACTTTTTGCTTTTCCTTAGAGTCTGGTATCTCATTAGTCTATAAGGCCACTAGCAAAACCAGGCACTGGGAAGTGAGAAGTACCTTTTGATAATTTGGAAGGATTTTTCTAGAAATAGGGTGATGCCAATTTAAATACAACAGACCACAAAAGTGCATGCTTTAGCAGCACATGTGCTGGTTAATGTCTTTACATTAGTAGCTTTGTAATGGCACCATAACCACTGAACTTGATATTTTTCCACCATCTTCATTTATATCAATAAATTGATCAATCAGTAATAACTGTACATGAAAGAAATAGGAGAGCTTTTTAAGCAAAAGAGCTGGATTTCGTACATCTGAGAAATATTTTGCCGTTTTAATGTCTTTTTGGTGCACCCGTGAGGTGTCTTTTGCAGAGAATCATATCTATCGGTAGACTCTCTACTTTTTGGTATACCTTTTGTATATGGGAGCTTTCTCATTAGCAATAAAGTTATATTTTCTCAATTTAAAAATAATAATGTATTTGTTATTCTATTTGCTTCAATGCCTCCTTCCTATTTGAAAAGGGAAACATAGAATGCTAGCGACTCAAACAATTAAAATTTATTTCAGCTTAATCATTAAACTTCAAGTGGTAGTAGTAGGTCTTGTGAGTGTGGGGCACACACTTTGATATTGCTCGTTTATTCTTCTTTATGCTTTGTTGAACCATTTGACTTACATTTTTTTTGAAAAGAAAGTTGAAGAACAAACAAGGAAGAGATCCTAATGGTTGACTTACATGGTATCATGTAGGTTGTTGATGAAACAGATAGGTTATTAAGGGAAGCTTATCAGTCCTGGCTGCCTACTGTCATCCAGCTGACCAGCTTTTCAATTGATGGGAACTTCCCTTCTGCTGATGATCTTCTTCCTTGCAGTTATGGTTCATTGAAGACAATCAGGAGAGTGTATGTTCTATTCCTATCCTCCCCCTTGTGAATTGCTTAAATGTGGAATTCCTGTTAGATGCACATCTTCTCTCAGTCGTGATATGACAATTTTCTAATCATACTAGAAGTGAATATCTGATTATTCAAGTCTGGTTCATTGCTTTATGACAATTGCACTATACCTTTGACTGTCAAACCATTTCATTATGGAGCTGCTGGTTCTTGTGATCATGAAAATGTATCCACTTTTTATCTGAAACTAAGGCTGCCTAAGTGTTTGCGTTAGTGGATGCAAGTTTGCTAGAAGGTTTGGACCTTTGATCAAGTGATGGTTCATTGAGTTTGCTCCTTGGGATCGAAGTGCACATAGGCATTTCACTGTCTTGTTTTCTTTTTGTCCATTTCAAGTATGGGATTATTTTAAGCATTGCTTTAAAACAAATGCAGGGGCACAGAAAGAGGGTTCAAGGGCAAAGCCTATCCAAGGCTTGCAAAGATGGTTTTATCAGCCACACTAACACAAGACCCAAGTAAACTTGCTCAGCTTGATTTACATCACCCTCTTCTTTTGACGACTGGAGAAAGACGTTACAAGCTGCCTGAAGAACTCAAATCATTTAAAGTGGTGGGACTATGCTACTTGAATGAAATAATCTCTATTTATACATTATCAGCTCTTTCCTGATGTGCCTGAAATGTGTTTACTATTGCATATAATTTATCTTAATGAGTATTAGAACTCATGTTTGCCTAACCTATCAAAAGAAAAAAAAATCATACAGTTTGTTGGCTCCTAACTCTTAAGGCATTTACTAATTTAGCTATGTTATTTTGCGGGGAACTTTGTTTTGTGTTCTAAAGATATGCTCACATAGCAGAAGTTACTGCTCCAGTGTAGTCTTTCATTAAATCTCTGTTTTGCAACACCTTATTTTCTCTAAAAGCATTGGCTTAAACTGTTTTGTGTATTTACCTCATGGATTGTCTTTAAACACTCATACATGAATGTCTTCCCTACTTCTCCACACCATTAAAGCGACAGCGTGATACAAAGTGAGGGTTTATCTAAAAACCATCACTTCGTTGCTTAGTGGGACGAAGTAATGCTGAGGGTTTATCTAAAAACATCACTCCATTGCTTAAAGCAACGGAGCAATGCGATGTGAGGGTTATCGCCTTATGAGGAAGCAATGTGCTTCAGAAAGTAATTTATCCAGTGAGAAGCAATTCGATTGACATTGAAAGATGAAAAAGAAAAAAGCCGTTCTTTTTTCCCCCAGTTAAAAAAAGGGAGGAAAAGAAATAAAGAATAAGGGTTTTTTGCTCTTTGAGTGTTAGGATTCCTCTCCAAATTACATTTTAATGATGTTTAATTTGAGCTGTTGGATAAATATTTTCATTGTCGGATACTGGATGCTGATGTTAGCAATTTCAATTGCAATTTAGTGTTTGAAGTACTATATTCAAGTATATCAGGTATGTGTTCAATTTGAAAAGTGTACACCTCACTTATCACTTTTCGCTCCCATTGGAATTGCTGCTATTTTTGCATCCTTTGCTTTTGAAGACACTGTTCTTCACTAGAAGATGATTGATATTGGTGAATTTACCTTCTTTCTGAGTAGATATGTCAATCGAAGCTCAAGCCACTTTATCTAGTTTCCCTTCTTCAAAGTCTGCAAGGGGAGAAATCAATTGTTTTCACATCATCTGTGGAGTCCACTCATAGATTATGCACCTTGCTTAAGTTTTTCGACAATTTGCAAATTGAGTTCAAGGAATATTCTCGTCTTCAACGTCAATCTGTAAGAAGGTACTGTAGATGTATTCTCTAAACAACTTTAATTTAGCTCTGAGCTTTTACATTATTTGATTTGCTAGACAAGTTTGTAGTCAGATGTACTAAAGATGCTTGCATGAGCACACATGTTACTGAAGCTAACTGAAGGTAGTGATGCAAGGAGCACCTAGGTTGCTGGAAAATTTTGATGTACTATTGTACTGTTATAAGTTCTATTTTGCTTATCGGTTTCCAAGGTAATATTTTAGAAGTGTAAAAATCTTAGGTTTTTGACAATAGGGATAGTTTTCCCTACTCCCAAAATTATGCATCAGAGACAGTTTTCTCAAAAGATGTATCACAAGACAATCTTGTGTGGCCATATGAGAATGTCTGCATCTCACAAGAAATCCTATCTACCCTAATTCAAGTGACTATTAACCGCTGTCAATTTTTATAGGTTTAGAAAGAGGGCATGTTTGGTGTTGTTCTGTCTCGGTCGCAATCTGAGTTTATTGTGGCTTTGAACTCTGGGAACTGGGTTAAATGGAGAACTTTTCTAAAAAGATGAAAAAGAAGTAGAGAATAAAGAAACTTTTTGGTCATCATGCTTGATGTTGTATAAAGGTGGTGTTATGTTTATTTAGGAAACATGTTGTCGTGCAAGAATACCTATGTAAACGTTGTGGTATTTCTTGTTGTTTATTCAAGTGTACAATAGTGCAATTTCATATCGTGAACTTTTGTCCTGCAGCAAGACATTGAACGCCTTTCGGGCAGGAAAAGTGCAGGTTCTTATTTCCTCTGATGCTATGACTCGTGGAATGGATGTTGAAGGAGTTAGAAATGTCGTAAACTATGATATGCCTGCGTATATAAAAACATTTATTCATCGGGCGGGTCGAACGGCAAGAGCAGGCCAAAGTGGATGTTGCTTTACTTTATTACGCAAAGACGAGGTATGATTTTTAGTGATGATGAGGTGAAGGTTTAAAGTTGGTTGCCTTCTAACTTTAAATGATCTGCTTTTGTAAAATGATTTTAAAGTTCCGGCCCTGAAGGGAACTAACATTTTGTAAATTACCTGATGTAGTAAATCTTACTGTTGCATGATATTAGGACAATTAGTACTTTTTCTTTTGGTTTTGTTTTTGGGGGGTGGGGGGTTCATCTTGGATTAACTGAGGTATTCCCTAACATTAGAATTATGACTACTTGAGCTGGTTCCCAACCATCAAATGGTCACAAAATTGAAAAAAGAAGTCTGATCTTGAAGCTCATAAGCTTCCATAAAGTTAAGACGTCCTCCACTGTCGGTTTGCTCCTTCAGTCTTCATATTATGCTCCTAACTGTCACAGCAATTGCAGTGTTGTATTGAGATAATAAGTATGATTTATGAACATACTTCAAAAAATATGATCTAATCTCTGACTATTAACTACATATACCACTAGGTTTCTTAACCATTTCCGAGACATAACTTTTGGTGGAGGACATTGACTTGGGACATCAAATCACTAAACTTTCTTTTGCTTTTTGCAGCAAATGTTCCTAGCTTTGTTCTTTATTGTTTGAATATGGAGTTTCCAATGCTAATTATTTCAGGTTAAGCGGTTCAAGAAGCTGTTACAAAAAGCTGACTGTGACTCTTGCCCCACATATTCTGTTTCATCTGAAGTAATAGAGTCACTCAACTCTGTATATACCTCAGGTACTTTTCTTTTCTCATTTTCAACATATTGGAAGTACTCTGCATGACTAATTGTTTGGTCAATGTGGATGTAGTTGAGAATTATGAAGAGAACACAACTCGAGATCACATATTAGCCTTTTCGGTGAAAATAAATATTTGCTCAAGTTCTGCAATTACTCTTCTGATATTCTTTGTCTTTTTAATTGAACCTCTTTTTTCCTTATCCTCAAGCTTTGGAGAAACTTAGAGAGAATGTTGAATCAGAAAAGTTTAAGAAGAGCAAGATTAGATTGAAGTCTTCAAATGTGAGAAAGGAGAAGTGAAAAGCTGCCGTGAGGATAACTTCCATTTTCCTAGATGGTGTAGCACTGAGTTGCCAACCCGGTATGATTATACCATAGGTGAGTATCTACATTTTCGATGTTATTATGTGATTTTAATTTTTTATGAGATTATGTTTCTTGCTGCTAGCCTATAGATTGTCACCACTGGTCTTGGTTCTTTTGGTGAATGCCGTGCAAAAGAGTTAACAGAAGAAAGTGTTCCCGTTGTTTCTTTTTGACAGTGGTAATTTGTAAGGGGTTTTCCTGTACTTTTTTTAATCTCTTTTCCTAAGTTGCTCGGACTCGGGTGCAGGTATCCAATACGGGGACGGATCCGAGTATCGGATTCGGCAAAATCTATATTTTAAGATTCGGGGGTGCGGATCCGGATATGGATACGGGTGCGAGTGCGGGGATTCGGCTAATAAAAAATAGAACTATAAAAATATTATAAATTATGAGAGATATTCTGTGAAAAACTTATATGAATGATTCTCCAAGATGGACATTATTATTTCATTTTCCTAAAGCTGTTTCAAAATAAAAATCTCAATTTTTCTCCCAAATTGGTCGATAGACTTCGGTCAAAGTGTCCGAAGTCAGTTGACTGTATCCGGGACGTATCCCGCTCCCGCCTCGTATTGGGACGGGGACGGCACCAAAATCGACGAGTTCGCGCAACTTAGCTCTTTTCTATTGCAGTTATCTTCATCTAGACAATGTAAATACATTCAGGCTTAGTGCTATTCTTGAAATTTCTTCTTTATGTTTAAAAAGTTACACTCTTATAGTAACAATTGATTAAAGTGTGAAGAGGGACAAATGATTCTTGCATAACTTTTAATATTGGTATTGGATTAGCTGAAGGAGAGGAAAACGAAAAATCAAATAATCTTGTAGTACCTTGAGTTCTCTGATTATTTTTAGATCCATTGAACATAGGCGACCAGTCAACTTGTAGTAGGAGACGAAGTGCATGGAAGTTTGCGCCGCTAGCTGTCATGTGGGTAGTTTGGAAGGAACGGAATAGGAGAGCTTTTGAGGGTGTAGAGATAAAAAAAAATCAGTTTAGGAGTAGTATTTTATCCCTTATTTCTTTTTGGTGCACCCACAAGTTTCCTTTATGTATGAAGAATGGGTGTCATTTGTAGAAAACCATCTCGTTTTGTAGGTTTTCTACTTTTTGGTATACTTCTTGTATGTGACCATGTTTTGCTCAAACATTAATAAAATTATTACTTTATCAAAAAAGAAAAGCCGAAGAGAAGTCTAGTATGAAGAACCTTTTACGATGGTATTTTAACCGTAATTATACAGCTAAATTCAACCCTCTCTGTCTTTACTATGGACACTTAACACATAAGCTGGTAATATTTGAAGCGCCAGATTTCATTAGATCCATGTTGATTCAATGGAAGAAGAAGCTAAGAATGTCAGTCAATTACATCTGAACTGTCCCTTATTTATGCGGAAATACCACTAATACGCAGAACAACAGCTGTGGAAGTGGCTGTAAAGATGAGAGGGTGACTCCAGCAAGTCGAGAGGACGATACCAAAGGAAGGAGAAGAGAAAAGGAAGCTGAAGGAAACGGGAAACTGAAAATCAAGGGAACTAGACTAACAAAGGAAGTGTAGGGATAGGGAGAGAGGAGGAAGAAGGGGGGAGTATCGGAATAATGAAGTTGGAGGGTAAACTGACTCACATGTTAAGAATTATGGTTTCTTTTTGTTTGGGAGGAAAACACTAGCTTACAACATAAGGAAGAAGCACTGGGCGGAATGACCAGTTAGTATTATATAGCAGGAAAGGGGAGCAGTAGGTTCTTTTGATGTAAAGTTGCTAATTGGTTGTATTAAGCATGGGCGTTTCGACATTCTCGTATTCTGATCTAGTTAAGTGCAGCTGAGTTCACTGAGCTATAACATGTTAATATATGCTTGTGACTCCTTCCTTAGTTCTTGTTTTATGGAATAAATTGCTCTGCTTATTTATTAAAGAAACACACAGAAAGTACTGTGCATAACAATTTCTTCAGCCGTATAGAAATAACTTTGGAAATATTTAAAGAAGTAGCAATAGAAGTTTGCTGCTAGTTCGATGGAGGAATTTTCCTTTACTCCCACAGGTTACATACGGTCAATATTATCTAGTCTCGGCAGAGCTTGGACTCTATCCAAGCTTTGTAGACTTCGTATCTAAGAAAGAGAGAAAATTGCAGAAGGAAAACATTTAGAAATCATTAGACTTGTACGGAACTTAAAAAAAATTGAAAGAACTCTCAGCAAGCCTAAGTAGATACTTCAGCTGCCAAATACAGAAAAAGACCTCTGAACTTCTTTGAGATAATATTTTGAATTTTTTGCATTAGAAGATGAAGCAGAATAAGCTGAAGATGATGAAGGTGAAGGACTCTTCCGAGAAAGTGACTCGCTTGTGCCAACTTCCCTCTCCTCCTCATTGATGGTATCTAGCATCTTCGAGGTTCGGTGTCTCATGACATTTACAAACTGTGGTGGTGCTACCTCTATAACAAACCTAGCAATACGAGCATTTGCCATTTTCTTTAGTAGGTTTTGGGAGAGACTGTTGAGGGAAAGGTGCAAAATACTATGTAGAATTGTAGTAGTAGTGTTCGAGAAGGTGGATTGTATGACTTAGAAAACACAAAAGGGATGAAATTTATAGGGGTGTGGATTAGATTATCCATCTATGGTCTGGCTTAAATTGCCTAAGTCATCTTAATCGAAAGGCTTTAATCATTTTTAGCTGTTAGTGCCGCCACTTGCTTTTAATATTAATTGCAAATATAAAGATGTTTCCCATTGCTGTCACCCTCTTGATGAGATATAAAATACACATAACTTAAATACGCGGTATTTGTTGCCATTGAAAGCTTCCAATTTTGAACTTTTCCTCATCGAGCTGGAGCCTGCTGATTGAATGACACATGTCCTTTCTGCATTTAGTGATTCACAGTGTATGCATAATTATTGTGATTGATTGTGTGCATGTTAAAAAAAGGCATCTCGCTGGAAATGCATTTGTAGCTTTCTAGAATTGTAGTTGGTAACTTGATTAAGCATCTACTAATCCCTCTATGTGGGTTTTCTGCTAGAGACTTGTTTATTTCCTGCAGAATATTTATAAAAACTATATTTCATCAGATATTAATGATCACCATTATAACATAATGTCAACACCCACACCTTAACTTGTTTGTTTGAAGGACCTTTAGTTAATGGTGTGAAGAATGAATACCTTTAGTTAATGGCTTTTTAACCTTAATTATACAGTTCTACTCGAGCTGCTATGGCTTTTACTATGGACAGTTAGTTAACATAAGCTAGTCATTTACGAAGCTAGCAGATTCCATTTTATCCATTTTGTTCAACGGAAAAGGAAGCTAAGAATGTCGATCAATTACATCTGAACAGTCCCTTAGTTATGTGGGATGAATGACAGCTATGGAAGTGGCTGTAAGGATGAAGGGTGACTACAGCGAGTCAAGAGGATGATACCAGGAGGAGGAACAAGGACAAGGGGGTTATGGTGCTGATATCTTATGAATCAGACAACAGTACCAATGAAAGAGGATTGAGGTTGGAGGGAGAACTCACTCACACGTTAAGAATTAAGGTTCATTAGACAATGGACGTTTTTCATTCTGTTTTTTTTCCCTCGTATTTTTGCTTTTTGTTCGGAAAAAAGAAACAGAGAAAGAATTGGTTGTGAAAGAATTTTGGGAATTGTATATTCAATGATGTACTAATTCTAATAAACTAAATTAGATTTAATGAATTGATTAAAATATTTAGAATAAATAGATATAGAGCGGGTAGCGGAAATTGAACCCACATTGTTAGCTTGGAAAGCTAGGGGTTATAGTCGTTGTCGATTCATCATTTTTAATGTCTCTATTTCAGAACCGGACATGAAACTTTGGTCTTGTTGTTTTGGAGGAAAGCACCAGTTGAGAGCAAAAGGAAGAAGCGCCAGGCGCGAGATCAGTTAGTGTAGGGAAGGGGATCAATGGGTTTTTTCGAGGTAAAGTTGCTCAGCTGTTTGTAGCAAGTACAAATGTTTTTACATTCTCATATTCTGGTCTAAATAGGTGTAGCTTAGTTCACGGAGAGAGAGAGAGAGAGCATTTATTGTATGCTTGGAACCCATTTCCGAGTGCTTGTTTTGTGGAACAAAATACTTTATAAAAGAAACATACTGTGCATAACAATTTTTTAAATGTATAGAAAGTAACTTATGGAAAATTAAAAGTAGCAGCAATAGAAGTTTACTGATAGTTGGATGGAGGAATTTTCATTTTCTCACACAGATTACTTACAGATACAGTCAATATTTATCTAGTCTCAGCAAAGCTTGAACTCGACCAAGCTCTGTGGACTTTGTAACTAAGGAAGAGAAAGAAAATTTGCAGAAGGAGAACAGCTAGATATCAATAGACAAGCTTAAGTTGAGCCTTTAGCTGCCAAATACAGAAAGAGACCTCTGAACTTCTTTGAGAAAATATTTAGAACTTTTTGCATTTGAAGCTGAAGTCGATGAACTCTTCAAATAAAGTGACTCGCTTGTGCCAGCTTCTCTCTCCTCTTCTTTGATGGTATCTAGCATCTTTGAGGCTCTTTGTCTCATGACATTTACAAACTGTGGTGGTGCTACCTCTGTAACAAACCTAGCAATACGAGCATTTGCCATCTTCTTTAGTAGGTTTACAGTTGAGGGAAAGGTGCAAGATGCTAGGTAGAACTGTAGTAGTGTTTGAGGATAAGATGTATTTTAGGCCTTAAAAAACACAAATGGGATGAGATTTATTGATTAGATAATCCATCTGTGGTCTGGCTTAAATTGAGTCAGTCGTCTTAATCAACAACCACCACCCAGTATAATCCCACTTAGTGGGGTCTGGGGAGGGTAGTGTGTACGCAGACCTTACCCCTACCTTGGGGTAGAGAGGCTGTTTCCAAATAGACCCCCTGCATCCTTCCCTCCAAGAACTTCCCATCTTGCTCTTGGGGAGACTCGAACTCACAACCTCTTGGTTGGAAGTGGAGGTTGCTTACCATCAGTTGTCTTAATCGAAAAGCTTTAATCATTTTTAGCTGTTAGTGCAGCTACTTGCTTTTAGTATTAACTGCATAGATTGAGATGTTCACCATCACAATCATCTTATTGAAACTATATCCTCTTAAATGGGACCGCAGAATGCAATGTGTCAATGCATTAGTAGAAAAAACAACATAACTTAAATATGCGGTTTTTGTTGCTATTGAAAGCTTCCAATTTTGAACTTTCCTTCATTGAGCTGGAACCTATTGATTGAATGCCACTTGCTCTTTCTACATTTAGTGTCTAAAAACTGGTTCTTTCATGTAGATCTGGATGTATCGTGCAGTCAGTGGCGAGTCAAGAAGACTAATCCTATTTGGGATTGTGAAAGCTGGACTTGCCATGAAAGTTAATTGAACTTTTGTGTTTGTTACCCAAAAATCACTTCTCTTTTTTTTGTTACATAAAAATAATTCAACTTTGTGTTCATTACACAAAAGTCACTTTTCTTTCTTTTGTTACACAAACATCATTTTACTTTGCTCTAGATATCATAAAAGTCACATTTGTACTTGAAAAGCCTATTATGCCCTTGGTATTATATAAACCTTCATATTTATGTAATACCTTTTATATTATATACTATATAGTATATTTTTAACTATGTATTTTATTTATAATTATTTATTATTTTTATAATATATTCATATATTTAATTTTTTCTTAACATTAATTTTCAAAATATATTAGTAGCATTATTAATTTTGTCAGTAACTTTAATATATATTAATAGAGAAATAAATCGGCAAGTACATTTTCGTGAGAAAATTCGCAGATAACCAAACAAAGAAAATGAGGAACAAATCATATGTTAATCTTTAGGAAAATCCCTAGATACTCCTTGCCATGAAGGATCATTCCCAAAATTTGGATCCCTTACACAATACTGTGAGAAAAATTCAAGTGTATAGCACCCAGGGTACGTCGGTGGAGACTTGTTTGATTACAAGGGCGGCTCTAGGGTAAGGCGAGTGAAGCTCTTACCTTAGGCCCCCAAATATTTAATGCCCCAAAAATATAAAGTACTACTATATCATTATATAATATATGTAGTTTATATTTATACAATTATTGATAAAATATTTTAAATTTTAATATTTATTTAAATTTGGTAGATATAGGATTGAATGAGTTAATAAGATAAAACTTTTCTTCCACTAAATTAAATAATATATTTATCTTCTCATGAATTCTATTTTTCTTTCTTTGTTTTTTCATATTTTTTAGTATTTTACTTTCTAATTTCAAATCAAATTCTCTAAATTAGCTATTCCTTTTTATCACATTTGATAGATCCTCATATCAGTAATCAAATTCTTTTGTGTCTCATTTTTTTAACTAAGAAATCCCAAGACAAGTATCATAAGGTTCAAAACAAGATCGATGATAGGTTCAATCCTTTTACCATTTTTATTTAATGCTATATTTTTTTTATAGGGAGTTCAATACCATATGACTTACGCCTAACCCACATATTATACGTTGTTCTCTCACCACTTTTTTGTCTCAATATTATATGGATATTATGAAAGAAATTTCAGAGTCTTTTAATATATTTTTGTTTTAAGTCACCAGTTTTGTTGAGCCGCCCTCATTAATGATCATCACTTATTTATAGACCACTGCCCATGAACGTGTTATTCAACAGCTCCATTCACATTTGGTAACTAAATAACACATTCACTGATTGTTGTCTTATCTTAATTGAGACTCTATAAAATTTGATTGAGAATAGCAGGAGGATGGACATGTGGCTTGATTAGGAGACTAGTAAAGCTTTAATTTAGGTCCCCAAAATTTTTTTAATAATGGATTTTATGATTTTATTTCAAGTTAGACAATATTAAAGTTTGGAAAAAAAAAATACAATAAACCTTGGATAAAAGAAAGAAAGAAAGACTGTCTACTCTTTAATATTAAAAAAATTTAGAACTTTGAATTAAATTACTTAGATCTTCATATTAGTAAATATATTTTTTACAACAAAATCAAAGGTAACATATTGAAAATACATGTCTTACATCCAATTTATTTAAGTTACCTCTTACTACTTTAAATGATAATACTATTATGTGAAGTTAAAGGTTTCATCATTTAAGCATGTTATACTATAAATAACAAGTATGAAAAAATGGCAATACAATCTTTTTTTTTTGTATTGTGTGTATATATACTAATAAAA